GGGTGAATTCCATAGACAAAATACAATAGACCCTTAGTATTGGCGAGTAGATGGTTCCAAGGAGACCACTGATGAGGAAAACTGCACATGCTTAGGATGTGCTTGTATAGGATGTTTGATTCATTTTTCCCAGAGTGCCACCCAACTTGTGCTAAAGATAGGCAGCATTTCAACAGATCTCAAATTCTCACTTCATCATATAAATAAAGCACATTCACTTTTACCTAGCTTTGGGGACACAATTTGCTTTTGGGGAGGCCGACTTTCACAATTTAAGGACAGGGTAACACTCAATTCATCATATAATAACACAACTGACAATAACACGGGACTGACTGAGGGCTTCTCTGTGTCAACTGAGCCGCATAAACCCACCCAGGAATTTCGTTTTTTTGTCTTTGAAATTTCTTTTGTTTTTTTCCATTTATTTTTCTTGACTGCTCTTGATCAAAACCACAAGCAATAAATCTGCAAATAAGATGGGCTCATAGTATTCAATGAATGAAGCTCGATAAAACTAGTACATACAATGTGAGTCCATTTTGATGAAGCTCAAACAGGTAAAACTAATCCATGGAGACAGGTAGAAGTTGCCCGTGGTGGTGGGAGGGGCAGGTAGGAATCCCTCTAGAGAAAATGTGTATATCTTAATCTAGGTGATGACAGAATTTTGCTAAGCTAAAACCTTAAGATTTGTACACTTTCCTCTTAAGTGATTCCTCAACAGAAGATAAAGAAAAACACAACTCAAATATCTATTAGGGACAACCATATTTAAGAGGCTATAACAATGAAGGAAGTTCTTACACAATTTTTAAAAGTGAAGTCTTTAACCTAGGAGGAAAAAACGCTTTCAAACCAGAAGTACAGTCTCCCTCCCAATGCTACCCCCATCCTGGCCAGCTTGGAGAAAGGCTGACTGGTGTGTTTAACAAAAGCTTCCCCAGATCCACTTCCCCTCACTCCTGGTTGAGAATCTCTGGTTTAATTCCTGGCCCACCAGTCAGACACTGCCTGATCTGTGCAGGAACTAACTTTTCTGGTGAAACTCTTTTTTCTGGAATGTTCACTGTTCACCTGTCATTTCACCTGCATAAGTCTGGGGTTATATGTTGCAGAAGTTAAACATAAGATTTCTGTTCTATATTTTATGCCTTTTTATTATGTTTTTTGACATTCTGTAACTACTGAGATTTGAAGGTAACTGTATATATATATATATATATATATATATAATTCATTATGTTCTGTGATCTATAAAGAACATCCCCCAGTTAAACACTGTCTGGTTCTGGTGCTAAATCAGGTAATGAACATCAGTCAGCACCTTAGAACCAAAAAAGATGCCGTTTCTCTGACCTCATTCCATGGAAAACATATGTAGCTGTTCCATGAGTAATGTGTAACATTAGCCTCTGGAAAGAACCCATAAAGGATTTTGCCTCTGTTCCTTGGGAAATTTCAGGAAAGGGCTGTCTGTGTGAGCTCAGGATGTCAATATTGCCACTCAGACTTGATAATGACTGAAAGGTGTTTTTGCCACACTAAAGGAAATTTATTAAAGAGAATTCCAGAGTATCAAAACAGCTGAAAGACGATTTTAAAGCAAAGGCCTAAAAACTATGTATGGTAAGCTACCATAGAAGTGAATATATTCATAGTCTACTTAAAAACTGCCCAAAAGAATTAACTTCTCAGCAACCTTTTTAGTATCCATTGTTAACCCTATTCCAGATGAACTGTTTGATGAACTCTCCACAGTAGTAGACATGCTCTCTATCAGTGCTAATCAATACGGCTACTGAGAACTTGACATTTGGTTAGTGCAAATGAAGGACTGATTTTTAAGTTTTATCTAAATGTAAATAACTACATGTGGCAATTGTAGTAGCTAGGGCAGGACTACACAGTAACTGTAGTGTGCCTCTCGGGTGGCATAATGTTATTTCCTTCACACCAGAGGAAAACCCAGATCATTTTTGTTTTTGTTTTTTTCAGAATTTTGACTGCTCTTTCCCCTATAGTACAGTTCATGAGAAATTGGTTATCACATCCCTCAAGGCTCTACTGACTTCTGAAGTAACTTCTAGTTTCTAAACTAACCCTTCAGATTGAGTCTTTCATAGTTTGAGTACATTTTTTTTGTTTTGTTTTTTGCCATGCTGGGGACTGAACCCAGGGCCTCGCACATGCTAGGCAAGTACTTTACCACTCAGCCACCCCCCCAGCCTAGTTCAATTGTTTTGACAAATATTAGACAATTAAATGTTACAAATTTGATCACAAAGGAAGCATCCTCCTAGGTCATTGTTTAAGACCAGAGATTATTCTACAGACCTATAATGCTCCTTTTATCCCCACTGGTGTAAGAAAAATGATCTTTTCTATCAAAGTATTTGTTGCCCTCTTAAATTACTTAAAAATTCCCCAAGTCACCATCTTAGGTGATTTGCATTTTTAAAGGGTCCTTGCTTCTTCTTCCAGATTCCTATATGACTTCATTGCCTGCCAAACTGTATGCTCTTACCCATCCCCCAAGCCTTTTAGCCAATCCGGAAAGACTGTGAACCTTTGACCTGGACAAATCCCAGGTGAGGGGCAGGTACAATTGCGTCAGGGATATAAGGAGGAGCCACTGTCAGCCATTTTGTGCTTGTGTGTTTGCTCAGCTGGAGTGAGCACATGCTTGCACCCTCTCGATCAAGAGAAATTGCCTTGTCAAGATTTTCTGTTTCTTGTGTGTCTGTTTTTGGCACCAGAGGGTTATTAATTCCAATACTGGTGGGAATTAAACCCAAAGCCTTGTGCATGCTAGGTAAGCATGCTCTACTTCTAAGCTACATTCCCAGCCCCATTTTTTGTTTTTTGTTGTTTTGTTTTGTTTTTTGCAGTACTGGGGCTTGATCTCAGGGCCTTCACCTTGAGCCACTCCACCAGCACTAATATTTTTGTGAAGGATTTTTCAAGATAGGTTCTTGTGAACTATTTGCCCAGGCTGGCTTTGAACCGCCATCCTCCTGATCTCTGCCTCCTGAGTAGCTAGGATTACAAGTGTGAGCCACTGCTGCCTGGCTCAAGCCCCCATATTTTTAACTGGGTGTTTCTAAAAGGGGGCAAGAGTACTCAGAAAATAAATCAAAAGACTACCAATGGGGAAATAAATAGGAAGATACCAGTCTGAGACTGTCTCTGTATTTTGAGTTCCTACACAATGAACTACAACCTAACCTAGAATGTAAACAAATGGCAAACTTAAGTTACAAATATAATTAATAGCCAAGTCTTGGCCAATCACAAACAGCCAAGCTTCAGCCAATTACAGTCTGCCAACTGATCAGACTGTGTATACATAAGGCAAGCCAATCAACCCATTTCTGTACAATACTTCACTTACATCTCTGTCTATACATAGTGCCTGTAGAGCTCTTTGAAACTTTTTCTGATTCTGAGCACTACCAAATTCATGAATCATTCTTTGCTCAAATTAACTCTGCTAAATTATCCAAAGTTTTTCTTTTAACAGGCAAAAATAAGATTTTTTGTAGGCCTGACATTAGTCAAGCTCCTGAAACTTCTCCTAGGCCTTATCTGTGCACTTCCTTATACATTCCAGTTTTAGCAAAGATCCCTAATAAATCAGTTTAGCAAGAACCTCCCACCCTCAATATCTGATCACCCTCAGTATCTGATCCAGTTCCTCATCATCCACTATTACCTCCCATGTCTGATCCTGGCTTGTCTTCAGCAAGAATCCTATTACATAGGTTTAGCCAGAATCCTTCTTACCTCTAATGGTAGTTTTCCATCCACTGTCTTCCACCCTGCGTCTCAACTATAAATTCCCTCTTGCCAATGCTGTATTTGGAGTTGAGCCCAATCTTTCTCCCCCACTACCATGGTCCCTGTATTTGTGGCAATGGTCTTGAATAAAGTCTTTCTTACCATACTTTAAAAAGTGTCATCGTATAATTTTTCTTTAATACTTAAGTGAAAATTGCATCAAAGTTTACAATAAACTACTTTGTCCCTGTAGTAGTTTAAAGGTTAGAAAGAGGAAAAGCAACCCTTGACATTTCTAAGCTAGTTGACTACTCACAGCTGGACCTTGGTGTTCTTCTGTAGAACATAAACAATTTCACAGAACATCAGTATCAGATAAAGCTACTCTCTGGCAGTGATGGATGCTGACAAAAACAAGATTCCTTTGCAATCATACCATAATACTGACAAAAACCATTGTTTAAGAACCCACAAAAATGATCGGACATCCCGTATCCTGACTAATATGAGTCACTGCCCTTACTCTTTTCAGATGAAAAATTACTGTGTTACTCAATCACAGAATCACCCTATTTTCTGACAATATACAGTTTAGAAAAGTGGAGTGGATGTTCTGCTTTCTTAAACCTTCCTCCGAATTATTTTGGAGTAGGGGGATCAGTAAAGGACACTGTTACATTCTCTAGTTCAATCATACTGTGGTGTCAGTGAATCCTTGCAGAGAAGCTACGTGTACAGGTGAGAAGTTCGAGTGCTACTTAATGAATGTGTACTATTTTCCTCTAACTGATGTATGCTATTGTGCAATGAATACTTGTTTGACTAATTACAATTATTCACATTTATGTCCACAATTATGTTAACATCAAACTGAGCACTGTTTTTATTGTCTTAATAGAAAATAGAAGGGGTAAATCGAAGAGCAGTACAATAAACTTTGCAGGAAGTTTGCAGCGAAAAAGAGAACAGCGGGGTTAATTGCTTTCAATTCAGGCAGAGGCGGAGCTCCTCGCTCCTGCCTTAGGGAACTGGGCGGCCCCACCGTTGCAGATCGCTCTGCGCAAGCGCTATTTCCAGTGCACGCACGCGCTGGGTCCCACGCCCGCGTTCTCCGGTCCGCGGACTTGGATTGGTTGAGCCAACGTCATCCGTCCCTGAGAACCGGAAGTTCTCGCGGGCTCCGGAGGCGCTGCGCCTGCGCTTCTCAGAGAGCCACGTTCCGGAACCGTCTGGGCCTTGTCAGGGTGAGCGTTTGTTTTTAGTGGAAGCGTAACTCCGCTCGCGGAGGGTCTTCTGGTGCGCTTTGGCCCCGGGGGGCTCTAAGATGCTGTCGCCTCGCTTCCTCCTGCTCTGGAGCTGAGGCCAGCAAGATAGGCAGACCCCTCGGGCCGTTGCTGCTAGTGCGCTGACTGCCGGACGGTGGCCCTGGGATGGTTAGCAGCAGGCTTTGCTTAGCACTCGAACCCTTGCCCCTAGGCTGGACCCTTACCCCTCACTGCACCTTTACTAAGGATCATCATTGCGAAAGAGGCCTAGTGTAGAGATGCGTGGCTGTTCAGAAGCTGCAACGCCCCTGCCAGCATTTGCATCATTTCTCTTCCCTAGAAGAAGCTTCCCGTGAAGCTGGAGAGCTGTGTGTAAATTATGAGTAAAAAGTTAGTTTTTCTCCTTAAGTCTTAAAGAGATCTAAAGATCTAAGCAGATCTAAGTTACTGCTGATTGTTACCAAATTTCACTGTAAACTTTTCTCTCATATTTCTTAGGGTTTACGCTGTTTTAGTGGAGATATGTGCACTCTGCTCATATATAATATTAGTCAATATTTACAAGCTTTTGTATGCATTCAGTCAACAAAATTTAAGGCCTACTCTTGGTGGCACTGTAAAAACTCGTATGTACCAGAAGCTAGAGTACACTTAGATGTGTATCCAAGCATTATCTATATTAGCATGTATTCTAGAACTGCTGTTCAATCAGGTAACTAGTACTTCCATAATGCTTGAACACTTGAAATGTGACTACTCCAAATCTGCTATAAGTGAGAAACACAGCAGATTTATTAGAGCTAACATTAAAAAAAAGAGAATTAAAATACCTCAATTTGTTTACATTTTGTGCCTTAGTGGTAGGGTACGTGCTTAGCATAGCTGAGGCCCGGGGTTTGATCTCTAGCACCACACTGAAAAAAAAAAACTATTTTGGATACAGTATGCTAAATAAAATTATAATTAATTTTACCTATTTTATTTTTAACGTGGCTTTTAGAAATTTTTAAATTCTATTTATGGATAGAATTTTATTTCTGTAGGATAACATTACTCTAGAAAGGGAGCAACAAACAGGCCTGTGGCCAAACCCAGCCTGCCTGTTTGTGTAAACAAGCTTTATAGGAACCAAGTCATGTCTGTTCATTCATATAGTTTCTGTGTCTGCTGTTTCTGCTTCAAGAGCTGCAGAGTTGAGTAGTCCAGGCAGAGAGTATATGGCCTGTGGAGTCTAAAATATTTACTGTTTGGCCTTTTACACGGTATGGTGGATATTTTAAAACCTTTTTTTTTTCCTTTTCTTTCTGTTTTTTAAAACAGGGTCTGGGTTTTGTAGCCTAGGCTGGCTTCGAACTCACAATCCTCCTTCAGCCTCCTGAGTTCTGGGATTATAGATGTATACCACTACATCTAGCAATATTTTTAGATTTTTTTGAGGGGGGGGAGGGACTGGGGTTTGAACTCAGGGCCTTATGCTTACAAGCATGCAGTCTACCACTTGAGCCATACCCCAGCCCTATTTTTAAACGTTTTAATTGTAGACCTACATACTTGTCAGTAAGGCTTGCTATGTGATGGATGGACATAGTTCTAAGCACTTTGTAAAGACTATCTCATTTAATTCTCAGTTGTTATAGAATGCTGTCACAGAATTTTCCCCCTTTTGTAGATGAGGAAACAGTAGCACAGGATGGTCAGTAAACTTACCCAACTTGCTCAGCACCCCCTCACTTCTGGCAACTATACTTTCTTCATCCTCCTTATCCAAATGTCTTGACTTTTCAGATCCACTTGATTGGCCCACAGTGTACTCCACGGTTTTCTTTGATCTAGGATTTTTGAATGATTTTGTGAACTAGAATTGAAATGGGCTTGGTCTTCCAAGGAAGAAGCTGAGTGGCACTGGGCTTAAGTGTGATGAATACAAGCAAGTTGGTCTGGAGTGATAGGAAAGGAAGCTCATAAGCAGAGAGGAGAGAAAACATCCTGGATGTTTGTCACTTGCTTAACAAAAGAAAATATTCGTTGAGTAAGGTGTTTGGCAGGTGTGTACAGATAAATAAAATAGATGTGGTTCTTAGGTTTTTGTGGGTAAGGCAAACAAAAATGTTTTTTAAATGTGGTACCATGAAAAAACACTTTGATTATTTTATGCTTTTTAACAGGTTTTCTCACTTGCAAGATGGAGATGAGATGAATTCATATCTCAGGCTTATTTTATATATTGAGATGACGTGATGGTGTATGGCACATAGAGGTTGCACAATAAATATACATTGCCTTCCATTGTTAATAGGTAAGTAAGGGAATGAATATCAGGAATTGTATACATCATGACACTTAAAAACTGACAGTCACCAGTTGTAATTTATAGAGGTTCTCAGGTGACACAGTAGTGTTTTTAATATTTTCTGATTTAATAGGACTCATTTAGCAAAGTCTAAAGTAAGAGAGGTTGTGTGTGTGTGTGTGTTTTCTGATAGTACTGGGGTTTGAACTCAGGCCCTCATGCTGGCTAGGCAAGCACTTTACCACTTGATCAATTCTGCCAGCCCTTTTTCGTGTTGAGTATTTTTGAGATAGAGTCTTGAGAACTATTTGCCCGGGCTGGCTTCAAACCATGATCCTCTTGATCTCTGCCTCTCGAGTAGCTAGGATTCCAGGCATGAGCCGTCCATGCCCGGATGCTATGTGTTTGATCTAAGAGGCAGAACCTCAGCTGTTTGGGGGGTCTGATGGCAGCCTATCTGGGAGTATTGCTGCTGCTGTGTGTGTTGGTGGGGGGGGCGTGTGCAGTGGGGTTGTGTCTGTATGTGGTTTAAATCAGAATCAGCTGGAGAGCTGAACAAAGCAGCCCTACCCTCAGAGACTCAAATTCATTTTATCTGGGTTAAGACTCCAGCATTAGTCTTAGTTTTTGTTGTTTAATTTCCCCAGGTAATGCTAATATGCAGCCATAGTTCAGAACCACCTATGGTGATAGGGGCCAGGTTCAGGGTACTGCAGAAGCAAAGGTACAGAGCTGCAAAATGGGCAATGCCATCTGGGGTTGAGAGTAGTCAAGGAGGCAAGGAGAGGGAGCACTTTTCATCACCTGACCAAAGAGCCTGGGCTCCATCCTGATAGCACAGGGAAACCTCTGGAGAGCTGTAAGAGAGAAATGAGGCAATATCTTACTGACTTGTGTACCAGAAGATGGTCCCTCTAAAAAAATCCCATGAATCAGAGTGAAGACATCAAAGAAGCAATTGCAACTGGCCAGATGGTAGAGAGCCCAAATAGGGTTTGGTATCCATCCTCCATTGTGTCTCTAGCAGCCAGTGTCTATCCACGTGGACATACCACGTGTGTTGTAATTGGCCAGTTTCTTGACAGTATTCCTTCCACTAGGCTCTCAGCTCCTTCAAGGCAGAGACTGTCTCTTCAGGCTCAGTATCTAGCACATTTTAGCCACGTAATATTTGCCGAGTGAACTATGTAAAAAATGCACACGCAGCTTACCTTTTCTTATTGTGGCAATTCTGAAAATTTTGGGTCCTATTGAATTCCATATTACACTTTATTAGAGCAATAAATGCTTTATGTCTGTGTGATTGTTTCACAGGGAGAATAGAAAGTTTGACATGATTTAAATGCTATTAAAAATATGGAGAAGAATGGGAAAACAGAATGGAGGTTCCACAAAATACTAAAAATACTATTACCATATGATCCAGCAATTCCACTTATGGGTATATGCACAAAAGAACTGAAAGCAGGGACTCAGAGATAGTTATACACTCGCGTTCATATCAGCAATATTCACAACAGCCAAAAAGTAGAAGCAACGCAAATGTCCATCAACAGATAAACAAAATGTGGGCTGGGTGCCAGTGGCTCACACCTATAATCCTAGCTACTCAGGAGGCAGAGATAAGGAGGATGGAGGTTCAAAGCCAGCCTGGGCAAATAGTTTGAGAGACCCTATTTTGAAAATACCCAATACAAAACAAGGCTGGTGGAGTGGCTCAAGTGGTAGAGTGCCTGCCTAGCAAGTGTGAGAACCTGAGTTCAAACCCCAGTACTGCCAAGGAAGAAAGAAATTTTTTTAATGTGGTACCGCTTTAAAGATTATAAAGTCAGCAAGTACTTCAGTTATATAGTGGAATAGGAGGAAAAAATAGTCCAGCATTACTTGGCATTGCTATTATTGATGCTGACATGGGCATGATTTTATCCACAACATAGTCATCAAATTCCACTCAAATGAATTGACTAATCTTGATCTGATTTATACAATTTATACAGTTGCTCCTCCAGCAAGCCTCTTAATGTTATACCCACACTATGCAATGCTGTTTTTTACTATTGAAAATAAAACCCTTGAAACTAAACTGTCCCACATTGCAGAGTCCATTTTCTAGCATGTCACACTCATTTATATCATATTACTCCTTCAGAAAACATTGTGTACATAGGTAACTGGCATAAAGTGCTATTTCACTATCCAGAAGCTGAACCTAGCAAAGGCAAGCTGAAGAAAATGGAACCCTCTTTTTCCTTTGCAGCTGTAAAGATGTCTGACAAAAACCAAATAGCTGCCAGAGCATCCCTTATTGAGCAACTGATATCTCAAAGGAATTTTGAGGATCTTGGCAACCACCTTACTGAGCTAGAAATGATTCATGTGACTAAGGCACATCTCCAGGAGACAGATGTGATCAGAGCTATATACCAAGTCCTCAAAAATTGCCCCTCAGTGACTTTGAAAAAGAAAGCCAAGTGTTTGCTGTCGAAATGGAAAGCTCTTTATAAGAGTACGCACTTCAAACCCAGGGACAGCCCTAAATTATTCCCTTCGGGTGGTAATAAAGAAGAAAATACAGGACTGTCTCATGACCCTAGCCAGGGTGAGATCTTAGGCCTCTGCAGTTCTAACTCCCTGCTATCATCCCAAGTTGTTGCAAACTCCACTGAAATAATTGTGCCTGGAAATAATGCTAAAATGGAACCTAGGGAAGAGCATTTGGGGGCTGTTGACCCTAAATCCACTGGCAAGAAATCAAGTGAGTTTCAGGGTTTCACAGTGTGTATGAGAAACAAATGCACAGAGCTTCTTTATGCAGCTCTAACTAGTTCTTCCACAAATCAGTCAGCTGATTTGTGGCAAAAATTTGCAAGAGAAATTGAAGAGCACATTTTCACCCTCTACTCAAAGAACATAAAAAAATATAAAACTTGCATCAGAAGCAAAGTTGCCAATTTGAAGAACCCCAAAAATTCTCACTTGCAACAAAACTTGCTCTCTGGATCTGTGTCTGCAAGAGAATTTGCTGAAATGACCACCATGGAAATGGCAAATGAGGAACTGAAGCAGCTGAGAGCTTCCTACACGGAATCCTGTATCCAGGAACATTGCCTTCCCCAAGTTATCAATGGCACACAGACAAATAAAATAAAATGCAGGCGCTGTGAGAAATACAACTGCAAGATCACTGTAATTGCCAGAGGAACACTTTTCCTTCCAAACTGGGTGCGGAATTCAAACCCAGATGAACAAATGATGACCTATGTCATTTGTAATGAATGTGGGGAGCAGTGGTACCATAGCAAGTGGGTGTGCTTATAATTGTAAGTGAATGTTCCCTTAACCCTAGGCATGTGTTTTATATACACATGACTTTTGTGCTTGTTTTTTTTTTATTTTTATTTTTATTTTATTCATATGAGCATACAATGCTTGGGTCAGTTCTCCCCCCTTGTGCTTGTTTGAAAATATATATACCATTCTTAAAACAATTCTAAGAAGGAAAGTTGTTTGTTAAAGTACATAACACCCACAATAAAAGTTAACATTTCAGGAAAGTTGACGACTATTGCATTTTGCTTTGTAGTTATTTGGTATCCTGTTATACCCAGAGTGGGACTGAGGGCAGCTCTGCATAGCCTGGGAACCAGTTAGAAATGAAGGCTCTCAGGCCCCATGCTGCTGAATCTGAATGTGCACTTCAGAAGCACCACAATAGCAACTGGCCTGTAGTTCAGAAGTGACTGCATATTAGAATCTTTTGGGAAAATTTGAAACCCACTGGTGCTGAGGGCCTGGCATAGAACAATTTAATCTGAACCTATGGGATGGGTCCCAGGCATCAACATTGCTTTTGTCATTCCTCAGGTTGGGTTAAGGTGCAGTCAGAGTTAAGAACTACTCTAAAACAGGCTCTTATTTGATCCTTTCTGTATGTAGTTCTAAGAAATGTGTGTCCTTCTGGAGACCTTACAGATGGGGAAACAGGTTTACAGAGCTGCAGTGACTTGGCCAAGCTACACAACCGTAAATAGCCCAATTCATACTGATTCCAGGTTTTCTTGCTCCAAATTCATAGTCCGAGACTGGCTCAATATTAACTTCTGCAAACGTCCCTTCTGCAGAGGGGAGCGCTAAATGAATAGTGTCCTTGGGCTGCAACCTTGGAGTCTAGAGCTTCATTCTTTTCCCCTTTCTTTTCTCACTTTACAGATCTCCCTTGAACCATGAACGTTACCCTATAACTCATCCTACAGTCAGAATTTGGTATAGAGTCCTCTTGCTTGCTGTGTATTCTCTTCTCTTTGCACAAGTTCTTTGTAAACTCTTTATGATATGTATTTTCTGGTGTTAGGGATCTTCATGTTCTCAAGGGCATGTATGTTAGGTCTGAAGTTCAAGTTCTGTGGAAGTGAAAATGGCATTAATCTGTTAGAATAAGTCCATTGCCTCAGCCTTTAAATCTATTAACATTTATTTACCTATAAAGTTCTTTGAGGTCTTTGCAAGCAGTGTTTAACCAATTTGTATAATTGTTAAAACATAGCAGGCCTTTTACATGATAACAGCCAACTTTTTTCCTTAGAAAGTCATAACCATTGTTTTTATTACTTAAAAAAAATCTACTTCTGGGCTGTGGAGTGGCTCAAGTGGTAGAACACCTGCTTAGCAAGCATGAGGGCCTGAGTTCAAACTCCAGTACCACTGAAAAAAAAGTTTACTTCTGTATTATCTACAAACCTACACATTTTCACCAGTTCTTTTTTCTCCTAGCTCTCTAATCTTCCTTTGTTGAAGTTTGAAGGCTCTCCTTTATGACAGTCCCCCAAGGAGAGCATAAAATACATTTGTGTTTTAAAATGATTTTGAAGAAATCAGCTTGAGACTGTCAAGTCTGAATTCTATTTTGATGTCTTTTCTCCTTGTGATTCCCAGGGCTGCTCATTGTGATGCAACATGTTAGTCCTTTAAACAGTAACTTGCAAAGTCATCTAAAACTTAAAATTTCACAAAGTGTGGTTTCATGTGACTTGGAATGATCTTTATTTTTTTATTTTTTTTATTTTATTATTCATATGTGCATACAAGGCTTGGGTCATTTCTCCCCCCTGCCCCCACCCCCTCCCTTACCACCCACTTCGCCCCCACCCCCTCAATACCCAGCAGAAACTATTTTGCCCTTATTTCTAATTTTGTTGTAGAGAAAGTTTAAGCAATAATAGGAAGGAACAAGGGTTTTTGCTGGTTGAGATAAGGATAGCTATACAGGGCATTGACTCACATTGATTTCCTGTGCGTGGGTGTTACCTTCTAGGTTAATTCTTCTTGATCTAATCTTTTCTCTAGTTCCTGGTCCCCTTCTCCTATTGGCCTCAGTTGCTTTTAAGGTATCTGCTTTAGTTTCTCTGCGTTAAGGGCAACAAATGCTAGCTAATTTTTTAGGTGTCTTACCTATCCTCACCCCTCCCTTGTGTGCTCTCGCTTTTATCATGTGCTCATAGTCCAATCCCCTTGTTGTGTTTGCCCTTGATCTAATGTCCACATATGAGGGAGAACATACGATTTTTGGTCTTTTGGACCAGGCTAATCTCACTTAGAATGATGTCCTCCAATTTGGAATGATCTTAAAAGCTATTCAGTGGTTATGAAAGAGCACATGAAAACCAAGTTTGATTAGTTTAAGTTAGTGTTGATATATTGATTGTGTGGTGTATGTGGTTTTAATTTGTATTGGGATTTTGCAAATGAAATTTGCAGACAAATAAAACCACTTGAAGTGGAAAATACCTTACTCTCCAAGATATAAAAATTTGCATGGTCTTCCTTATTTCGTATCAACTTTGGCAGTTAGTTTTGCAACTAGAGAAAGGAAAATAGTAATGGGGGCCTTTTTTCTTTTGGTCAGTGAGATAGCATTACATTTCCTAAGTGTAGATAATAACTCTTTGTTATATTATGTCATATCCTTTAAAAAGAAATGGTTTTCTTTTAAAAATTGCAGGTGGGTAAAGATTCTAATTTAAAAATCTCTCTTACAGGAATAGCAAGTTCAAAGGCCACAAGGTGGGAGGGTGCCAGATATGGTGAAGGGGAAGCAAGAGTCCACCACAGCTGAGGTGCAGTGGGCAAGAGGAAGAAGGATGAGCGATGTGGTCAAGAGGCCACAAAGTTCATGAGGACCCTTGTTGGTCATGATAACGACTTTGGGTTTTTGTTGTTGTTGTTTGAGTATGGGAAAGCATGTAGTGATGAGACTTGAGTGCCCTTTAGGAAGATTACTCTGGCTGCTATGTTGAGTTAGATGGGGAAGGAAGCAAGGATGGATGCAGGGACAGCAGGTAAGTGGCCATTGCAGTGGTCCAAATATCACATCATTGGCCTCAAAAAAGTACAGGAAAACTGATCTCCCTGAATTCCTATAGGTGACCAAGCCCTTGGCAATTTTGAAAATGGATGTTTCATACAATGCACCCAATCCAAAATTCTCTACCTTAGGGGCTAGAGGTGTGGCTCAAGTAGTAGACTGCTTGCCTTGCAAATGCAAGGCCCTGAGTTCCAGCCTCAGGTCCAGGGGGGAAAAAAAGAAAGAAAAGAAAAAAATTCGGTACCTGTGGCCCATAATTAAAAAAAAAAAAACAATAGTAGTGCAGAATTTCAGTACAACACAAGTATAGCCTGTAGCCTGCTTGCCTTGGTTACTGGGAGTAACTGCACAAGACCTAAACATACCTGAATGTAGGAAGGCTTTCTCCATGGGTTTTCCTTAATCAGTCTCCTTTGTCCCCATTACTTTTTTAAAGACTTAGATACAATTGCAGCTCTGTCTCTTCCCTGGACACTTCCTGTGATGAGAGACTCCTTTCATTCCCTGTCACCATTTCTAAATGCCAGGCAGGAAGCCTGCAGCTGGCAGTATTCTACTCCTTTGCAAGGCCTGGGCCTGTATGTTTTAGGTCAGATTTCTTTTTATAACTCCTAGTAAATGTAAAATATTTTACTAAAATGGATGTTTTTATAACTCTCAAAGGTACTATAATTATTTAGACTATAGAAGTCACCTTCTTGCTTTCAGAAGAGCCCCACAATCAGATGGAAAAACCAGTGACAACCTCATATAATCACATTTGCATTATTATTTAAAGCTAGATTTTCAGAAATGTTACCAAGCATTGTCAGAAATGCTCTGTAATAATAATGATTGCACTACACCTTACCAGTGCCATCTCTCCAGACACAAGGGAAACGTCTAAAACTTTTTGTGCCATTATTTACTTTGGCTGGTTTTCTGAAAAGTGAGTGACTTTAAAAATTCTTAAAAATATAGTAACATGTAGCTTTTTAAGTGATATTTATGTATTTATAATTTTATGGATTTGAATAATATAAATATATAAATGCAGTTTCAAATACTATTTCCTATAAAAACACAGGGTCTTCCTATCTTCATGTTCTGTCTGTGTGATCTAGGGAAATGATTACCAATTTCAACAAAATAGCCAAGCTATCTTGCATTCTTTATTAAATTATTGTGAGTGCCTTACAGGATGGACAGTCAAAAAATGGAATTAAAATAAATTTGTTGGAAATATTTTTGCTTTATCTCAAAATGTAAATGAGATACAGGTAGGAATAAGTTCTAAGTAATCATTAATTCTTTTCAAATGATACATTTGAAAAAAATCTAAAATAGCCATGGAAAAGTTATAGAACAAATTAGGAAGTGAGTTAAAATCTTCATTTGTAAACTTTACTCTTTGTTTTTAGAATATAATCATTTTTGAAATGGTGTAAACGAACATAGACACAGTTAGAACCCCAGCAGCTGCTTTTAAGTCATCAAAATGGTATCATAATTTGCCAAATTCACCTTTGTGGACTCAAGTAAAACATTAAGAAATTTCCAAGTGCCAGTGAGGCTGAGTCATCTGGCTGGATTCCACCTAGCATGCCTCTCTGAATGATGGCAGACACAAAGCTGTAAAACCAGTTTCAGTTTTCCTTCTCTGGCTACTGCGTGGCCAGGCACTTGTCCAGTCAGTGCTCCATGTAGCTCTCACCCACCCATGTGCACCTCAGTGGGGAAGAGCTGAAGTCTACATCTGTGTGTCAAACAGCAGAGAGCTCGATGATTTAAATGGACCAGGTGTCATTTATGAGTCCATAGGCTGGCTTGTCTTTTCTTGTCTTTAGTATATTTTCAGACTGAGAATTTCCATTTCCACAGTTTTGCTTTCATTCAGCACATGGACTTTTGCCCTCCCTCCCAACTTTGTGAAATCTCACAAATTGCTGAGCACAAAGTTTCTAGACATTTTAGTGGATATCCATGTCATTTAAGATGAATATACCATTTAAAAATGAAGCAATGGTTAAAGGG